CCCACTGCTAGCGCGTAAGAATCTTGGTATGCCTCAAGGGTAATTTTGTCCTTTTTACCCAAAAATCCATGTGTCGCCTTGTGATTATTTTTGGCTCCACAATATTGTTTAGTCCGTACATTTAGAGATTATACTATAAGGACCTTTTATTGGAGACAATATTCTTTTATAGACTCGAATATTCTTTTGAAGTCGTTAAATAAGCCCTCAAAGGTGGTGGTAGAGTTTGGAGATGCTCTTACTATGAATTTTACTTATTCTTTCTACTTTTGTGAAGTTTTAGTTATTCCTAGATTGTTAATTGCTAGTTTCGCTTTTCGATATGGATTCATACTTGGTACGTAAAACTTTGCGTTTGAATTCAAGTGGTTTTCTATCAAGAGTTTACGATGAAAGCCCTTAAAACTTCTCTTAAACTGCTATATAGGAAGCAGAGGCTCTGCTAAAAATCACCAAGATAATGATAGAGAGAAAGAGAGGGAGCATCTTAGAAATATATTAAGCCTACTGAATAACATTATCTGCTATGAAAACTTCCCTCTGAATATTTTTACACAAGTAATGTTAGGGAAATTAAATTTCTAAACCAAATTTTGTAAATTAAATTATGTAAATGTTGATGATTGGATTATTACTTAAGTATTGATTAACGTGTTTATTTCCTATTGGTGGTGACATATTATTTTATTTAAAAATTTGATCTCCTTAACATTATTTTTTTTGCACAACAATGCATTTAGTAATGGGTTATGAGTTAGACCGCACAATAAGACAATCTTGATTAACTGATATCGAACTCATCATCTATAAGTTGAATTTAAAATATCTCACTTACAAGTTAAAATAGATATCAATAAATTGGAATATTAATTAGTAGTATCAATAAGTTCCAACTCACTCTTTATTTTCCTTTTGGGTTAGAAATTCTCAATATAATATCTATTAAGTTGTCCCTTGTGAATCTTTTTGAGTTGGATCGTGAACAATGCAAGAATATTATCACGTCATATATATCGTATTCTGATTATTGATTAAGCAAGAATTATTGTAAAAATAAAAGGCAATTATCAATCGAGATGGATACTCTATGTAAATTGGAATACATCCAAGAGCTTAGAAAAGGGACTAACCACCCAGAATTGCAAGCAACATTACATATATCTTATTCCACCAATGATATAATAAGTATATGAAAATTACATTTTTCAACTTTTTAGGTAGTTCAGATATAGATATTCAAGAAAAGAGTCGTATGTTACACATCTACTTGTTATTCTTTGTGCTTGCTCTTTTGAAGAATTTTTTAGTCTAATTACTTATCGTTCTTTCAGATGATATCATTACATGTTATGATGTAAATGAACGATGTAACTATATTTTTATAGATTTCGAGTGTAATGACATTCATATTATTCATGTAAAATGACCTTCATATTATTTATGTAATGTTACTACATCTTATGATATGAAATAATGACATAATTATGTTTGGCCATTTTAAAACAATCAATTTTTTGGGTGGAATGGTCAAGTTATGTGACTTTGTATCGTTACATACATGTCAACACCAAGCATAGAAAAACATGATGCCCGTGATGTGTACTTGTCAGATGAACCAAATTCTTATTGAATTTGACATGAGTGAATGAAAGAGCTATATCTTATAGACCTAAGGTATGATATTAACAAATAAATGCACATCTTGTTATAAAACCATATTTGCAACACCACAGTCCCATTATAACGCAAATTACTCATTTTTGTGATGTAATTATATATTATAACGTGGATGAACAACATAATTGATACTTCATGGATCTAAGATATATATATATATATATATATATATTTATGAGACCTACGATATATTATTAATGAATAAATGCATTTCATCAGTTGATTCGTATCATCACATGATCTAACATTAGTTATTTCGTAACATCATGTGATATTCACGTTGAAAACTACTCACTTTTTGGGAGTAAAATTCCAATGTTCAAAGTAACTTTCTCGTTCTTTTCATTAAACAGATAAAATGGATTTAAAAAAAAAAAAATTAAACATTAAGATAAGTAGAAGAAGCTAGATCATATGCTGTGAAGGACCACTTCATGAAAACCTTGTTGGATGGAATCAAGATCTTCGATTTACTAAACTATGCTTATATAAAGTTGAATTACGCCATCAAACTTTTTTGTGAGTTTATTTGTGGTCCCCCTCTCCATTGTCTCTCGTGTTACCTGTGATATTTAATCATAATAAAAGTAAAGAAAGTGAACCAAGAAAAAATAAAAAAAGTCAATTAAAAAATTAATAAATGATAGTGACAGATGCAAGACGACGCCTTGAGGGGGCCACAGGGTAAATGCACTTTTGTGTGGAGGGCAACAAGGCCACGTGACGCAGCATTTTCTTCAAGAAGTCTGCCCTATTCTTTTTCAACTTTTTAGCACACAACAAAAAACATCATAAATTTTTCGAAGTAGGATTCCCCTTTTATTCTCGCCCTTTTATCTCCTCGGTCTCACATTTTATTTTTTATCTTACTATTTTTATGAAAAAAATAATATAAGATGTTAAAGTGATGTAATCGTAAATATTTAATTAAGAAAAAAAATGATATAGATTAAAAAGAGAGAGAATACTCCTTTATATTTTTCTATACTTGAAAAACAAATTGGCACATCATGTGTTATAATTTAAATTTATGGTTTATTTACAAGAATAAGAATTCAAATTATTTTGATTCTTGATTCCATTCTTTACAAAAATATGAGTAAGAAAATCATTTTACTTCTTAAATTTCCCTCGTGTGTTAGTTATGTGTCTATAAAAAAGTAGAAAAGCATAAGTTTTTCTTCGAAATGTAATCAAATATTTGAAAATCAAGAATTAGATGTCATTTAATATTACAGTCTAGTAGTATTCTTCTTCACTTGTAAGTGAGAGGTCTTAGGTTCTATTCTCTCTAAACGAGAATTTGAATTATATTATTGCTAACCTATTGTGAGACTTAGCCTACTTCTCAGCCTTTTAGTATAGATAATATCGTTTGTTTAAAAAAAAAAACAATCAGATCGCCTAAATGGAACTAATTGATCCGATTTTCTTTCCTAACTTTTATTATTTTTAAGTTTTCCATTTTTTTTTTTTTTTGGTTAAATAAATAAGGCAGAAGTGGAGAAGTGAGATATTTTTCAGTATCCTTCTTTTTATATTATAAGATATTTTGTACCAATCTGTGTCCAGAAGTAAGCTGAACGATCCACCCCACCTTACAAGAAAAAGCCAATATCTTATTAAAAAGGGCTTTTAATTTAAGCAGAGTTTGCATATGTGGTGGTTAGAAAATCACTTATTCAGTTTCTGCTTCTGGGAGGAGAGAATGGGATGGTGGGGAGTCCCAAAAGAGGCATGAACTATAGAAATTAAAATGGCTTAAAAGTTAAAACCCATTTGATTCAGTGATTCCCATGTCTTGTTCAGGAATGAGGATATATATATATATATATATATATATATATATATATATGTATAAAGCCATTTCTGTTTAGGGAATCCATTAGATTTGGTGACATCCTCTATCTAGATTTTGTGTTTATATTATCTCCGCTTTTGCCAAACTTTAGCCATCATTGCCCTAACAAACAATATTTTTGACACTAAGAGGTGGGGAAGTGGACTAAACTTCATACTGGGGCTAGCCATATATGTGGTTTAAATTTGCTTTTGGCAAGAATCAAACTTAAGATCTCTTACTTACAAGTGAAAATGAATACCACTAAATCATAATACTGAGTGACAACACATGTTAAGTATATAAATTATTAAACATTGTATGTGACTAGCTGGTTTAGCAACAATCGTTTTTAATTTGGTTTAAGTAGCTCTCAAGTTCAACGCATTGAAAGTTTGGTATTCAGTTGTGAAACACCATGACTTCTTGTAGCTGAGTTAATGCCTCGTTGGAGAAGAGAAATATTTTTCATACATTCTTTCTGCACACATTCTTATAAAGAAAAGAAAAATGTGTGTGTATAAATTATGAACTCGTTTGAAAGTGCTTTTAAAATGGTTAAAAGTTCTTCTGGTGAAAATGTATTTTGAAATCCTTAGTACAAATGCAAGTAAATCCTAGAAAATCACTTAAAGTAAATGTTTTTAGAACCCAAAAATATTTTTTCTAAAAACGCTTCTGTTCATTTTAAAAGCACTTCCACACGAACCTTATGTTTATTATGAGAATATCTTTGTAAATGTTCTAGCGCCTGTCAAAAAACACACATAATGCATTGCCCTCCCTACCCACGTCAACAGACTTACATTACAAACTTTTTGTTATGACAAAAAAAGCCTTTTGGGCTTTGTATGATGCAGCCTCTAATTTTGGATAAGGCCATCAAGCCCGTTATTTGCTTATGATTTATGAACAATTTTTCAATTAATTTTATTTATTTTCGATATGTTGTAAATATATTTATTTTTTGTCAAATTATATTGTGAATTTATTAATTTAGCTACATTTTACACCTTTCAAGTTTACGTAATTTTTAAAATAGACCATAAAGTTCTATTTTTTTTTTTTCATTTAGCACCATAATGTTTTAAAATTGTATCAATATATGTCTTTGCTTGGATTGATCATTCATTAACTTGATGATGCTATGAGCGTGAGATGCATATGCAAGCTAATGTGTAAGCCACATTAGCACCATATTGACAAAAAACTTCACCGACTTAATGAATGATTAGATGTTTAAAGAGGCAAAAAGTATGAATTGATACAATTTTAAAAAAAAAGTGCAATTCGAACTCATGTGATGGCATTTCATGAGCTTATTATGAACCTTAGTTATTTACAAGTATAAACAACAGTTATGTTATGTGCTACATCAGTTGGTATAAAAAGTTTACGACGATAGTTGGTGCCCTTTAATAGTCCACTCCATAAAATAAAATAAATGTCCTTTACCCTAAACCACATTAGCAATTAGCAAACATAACGAAGAACACAGGTGCTAATCAACATTAACCATTCGAAATTTCAACCTGAGCAAAAGCAGGGATTGAGAACAGGGCAAAAACAAGTCCTAAAGAAGAGAAACAAAGGGCGAAAATACTCTTCTCGTCCCGTTCCACCAGAATGCCGGCAACCTAAGAACATGTCGGTCCCTGTTGAATTCATCATCTTCACACAAGCAATAATTCAACTACACAACACATATGATACATCCAACCCATTAAGCTAATGGATTTCCTAACAGTGATCGACTTGACAAAAACACTGAAACGCCCATCTGAGACCATTTTCAGCACCATAACAAAATCCCGGATGAGCAGTGTCAGCTTTACATTCTGTTTTCTCTCTTAACATTGTAATTTGAGGCGATCAAGACTCTCGGAGACAGTTTTCATCCTAGGACGCAGTTCGGGGTCGAGCTCAGTGCAATTTAGGGCAATGTGAAACGCTTCAACAACTTGCTTCTTTGCATAAACTTCTTGCAGAAGTGCAGGGTCTATGATCTCAGACAAGGGGCGCTCATCTCTGAATGTCTTCCTGACTAGGTTCTCAAGTCCCTTGCCACCATTTTCGATCCCCTCATCTGGCAACCTACCAGTCAGGATCTCCAAGAGCACAATTCCAAAGGAGTACACATCACATTTCTGAGTGAACTTGCTCCTAGAAATTCGAGCCTCGGGTGCCAAGTAAATGGTTGAAGAAGTTGGAACAACCAAACCAGAGGCCGCAATGGATTCGTTTGAGTTCTGTCTTCTGGATGCTGAAGTGGTGAACTTTGAGGTACCCAACATAAGACGTGCCAATCCGAACCCGGATATGTAAGGTTGGAGATCATTGTTGAGAAGGATCTTTGTCGATTTAATGTTTCCATGAACATACTTTCGAGTGCTGTGTTCGTGTATGTACATCAAACCCCTTGCAGTCCCCTGAGCAATTTTTAACCTTGCCGTCCATGGCAAAGGCGGCAAAGAGTTGGATGGTCCCCCTGCAATAAATTACATGACCACACAAGTTTGAGCATATTTGAACATTTTATGTCGCTATATTGCATGAGAAAAACATATGTTAAAATATTTGGAGGTAAAATCTTCATCAACTGAATGTTTCCTTGTGCAATAAACACACAGAGAACTAACTTCCGCACACCCGTGTTCATTTTTGTCCCTCAACTCTCATTTGATTTACTTAGTCCCACAGCCAAAAAAATAACAGGGGTGTGAAAATGGCATACGAAAATCACTTTCCAAAGGACACAAAACAAATACCGTATATATGTGTAGACTGTTTCAAATTATAAAAATGTTGCTCCAGAATTGCAGTGGCCCAAATTACTTGAAATTGCATATTAAAAACTCTGAAAACTTGTCAGTCTTGCTGAAGGAGTCTTAATTAAATAACTTTAATAATAGGACCACAAGTGTATGATTTGAAGCGTGAATAAATGTCTAGCTAACATGCATTTCTGAGGAGATTAACCTATTTCTGAACCAGTTGAGACAAAACACACTGCAATATTTTCAGTGCACAAGCAGTAACACAAGAAAATATTCTAAAGTATTGCACGTCACGGGAAAAATTTCGGGTGCAACCGGGTGCCTATCTCTTTCATCACATGACACGTAAAGAAAAACAGTTATGTATGCATATGAGGATAAGGACGACGAAAAATGATGTCAAACTCAAATGCACTTCAAAATATTGATTGTATATGGCATCTGTAAGGTTTTAACTATCAATAAATGTTGGGACTCTTCGTATCATTGTCTGAAATGTTTTACTTTTTAACTCTGAAAAGATAGCTAGTCTGCCAACAACAGGATGAGGACTTGTTTGGCACGGATATACCGGCATGGTGATATCTCATGTCGCTGATGCAAGGATGTCGAGAAAAAATCTCCTTGTGTCCTAGTATTATTGATAAGAGGACATCGTCGGGACAATATAATCGTGTCATGCAACTTGCATTTCCCGTATAGTAGCATTACTGAAAGCTTAGTATAGAACACAAACAAATTTTCTTTTAACAAATAGTAGTAACTTCCAATGGGCTTGTAACTCAAGTAATTAATATTTACTACACCAGAGGTCATGATCACCTCAACCCGTATTATATTATGTAGATCCCGCTTTACCAAAGATTATATTCAAATAAAAAAATACCAAAGATTTGAAAATAAAATTTAAAAAAAAAAAAAAACAAAAACAAAGGGAAGGGTGAATTTACCATGAAGTGCATTGTACAGGCTGCCATTGCGAATGAAATCAGTAACCAGCAGTTTCTCGTCATTCGCGTAGTAGTATGCTCTCAGGCGCAATATATTGGGGTGCACCACCTTCCCTATCGCCTCCACCTCAGCCTCAAACTCCTTCAACCGCCACGTTGCATCACCCTCGCTCAGCCTCCTCACGGCCACAACCGACGGCGCTGCACCAGGTCCCTTCCCGCCACTCCCGGCGACCACCCTGTACGTAATCCCACTCCTACTCTTCCCCACCACGTACGCCGATGCCCTCAGCAAATCCTCCAATTCCAACCCGAATCCCTCGTCCACCACCACGAATTTGCCATTTTGCCCTTCCCCCTCTTCCACCACCACCTCAGCTACTTCCTTTACCACTTTCTCCTTTCCCGTTTTGCCCTCCTTGGCCCTGCTTCTTATCCGAAACAGCCACACCGATATCGAGACGGCCCCGATCACCACCGAAACGCCCGAAATTATCGGAACCGTCACCGAACCGCCGCTCCGATTTTCCCTCTCTTCCACCCCGCGGACTAGACTCGGATCCGGGTCGATGGGTTTAACATCCTGACCTCCGCTTTTCGAGGAATTAGGGTTTTGAGCTTCCGGGCACGGAATATCCAACGGAAACCCGCAGAGGCTAGGGTTTCCAGAAAACGCGGTGGGGCCCTGGTTCGCCAGCGAGCCCACCTGAGGCACTTTTCCGGTGAGATTGTTGTGCTGGAGGTCCAGGCTCACGAGCACCGGAATCCTTCCGTACGATGCCGGAACTTCGCCGGAGAAATTGTTGTAAGAGAGGTTCAGGGTGCCGGCGAGGGAGGGAAGCTCGGCGAGAGACTCGGGGAGTGAGCCGTTGAGGAAATTGGAGGACAAGTCGAGGTGCTTCAGGGCCTTCAGGGCTCCAATTTGCGCCGGGACTGGGCCCACGAGGGAGTTGTGGGAGAGGTCCAGAGTAATGAGGGCGGCGGCGTTGAAGAGGTGGGCAGGGATGGGCTTGGAGAAGTTGTTGTTGGAGAGGCTGAGTCGCTTGAGCGAGTCGAGGTGGCCGAGCTCGGAGGGAATGTAGCCGGTGAGGCGTTTGTTGGCGAGGAGGAGGTCGGTGACTCGGTTGCGGGTGCAGACGACGCCGTGCCAGTGGCAGGGAGTGGGATCGGATTCCGACCAGGAGTCGAGGATCCCGGTGGGGTCGGTTTCGATTGCGGATTTGAGTGCGAGGAGGGAGAGCCCATCTGGGTTGAGACAGAGGACCACGTCAGGAACCAGAAATAGAGCAATATGCAGCAAAAGAAGCATCATTTTGTTTCTCTCAATTTTTGGGAAATTGGCAATGCCACTCTACATATTTATCATTCTCTCTCCGTGGAGTTGCAGAGAGACTGGAAGAAGAAGAAGAAGAAGAAGAAGAAGAAGAAGAAGAAGAAGAAGAAAAGAAGAAGGGGTTTTAGAGCTTGAGTTTGAATTTGTGGAGAATTGTGTAATTCGAGGGGAGGTTTGAATTTTTCTGACCAGTGTTGTTGTACTACTCAGCACAGCAGCACCTGCAAATCCCCATAATGTCTAACATTTTTTATTTAATTTAATTTTTTTTTTCTTTTATCTATACTCACTTTCTGATTTAATTAATTAAACAAATATCGATCAATAGCAGGTAAATTAAATAATGTATTACAATGATAAATAAATGGATTAATAAATACTTAAGTAATAATTCAATTATTAACTTTTATATTATTTCGTTTACAAATTTAATGCACAAAGATCATGTGACATTTTAATTGGTATAAATAAAAAAAATTAAGTATAAAGAGTACTGACTAGTGACTAACTAAGTATTATTACATTTAAAATATTTGGTGGTTAATCTTTCGAAAAATTAAGAACAAATTAAAACGTGATTAAAGTTTGCCAGTTTCAAACAAAACAAGCAATAGGTGAGGGAGGAATGAGAAGATTTGTGAATTTTGGGATTGGATATACAACTATTCCCCTTGTTATTATTAGCTTATTTGTTTTTAAGACAATGGGATTATGTTATATCATATTCCCACTTGCAATTGTCATTACCGTTGTGCCCAAATTCAAATCCAAGGTTATAAAGGTCAAAGTGATATTGAGAATTTTATGTCTTTGATTAAGTTTAACATCATCACTACTTTCGCACAACTTGATCTAAAAACTAGAAATTACTGAATAATAAGTTCGATACCAAATATTATGTTGCTCAATTAGGCGTCTTAGCTAGGGCCCCCCAATTTATTATTTCGCCCAAATCATTACCATGAAATATTTGTAAGCTTATACCAAATATTATGTTGCTCAATTTAGGCCCCCCCCCCCCCCAAAAAAAAAACACAATCATTACCATGAAATATTTGTAAAAATATAGAGATATTATATTCACATATCCCAAATTACTTATTCAACATCTTTTTAATTTTTTAATATTTTCTACACACCATTAGCACTTGATAAAAAAAATTAAAAAATTAAAAAAGTGTAACAAAAATAATTTAAAATGTGTGAATATAATTTCTCTAAATATAAAAGCTAAGTGTGAAACCGAGGATTTGTTTATTAATTAAATCTCAACCACATCAACTTTAAAATGAACAATTTTGTGAGTTAGTTTTGTAATTTTGTAAGGGAAAAAGAAAGCTTTGTGTTTCCAAAAAAAAATAAAATAAAATAAAAAGGCTGAGTTGACCATGAGGGGAAAGAAAAGGTTTAGCCAAAAGAGGGTGTGTGTGGGGACTGGTTTGTAATTTAGGAATCCAGATCCTTTCCTATCCTTTTTGTGAGGATCTCGATGATCTGTGAATTGTATCCGTTCATCATATATCGTGAGATCAGAAATTATGCTATATATTTTTATTTAAAATTATACACAAATAGTACCTGATAAAAACTGATCGCACGATATACGATGAACGGAAACAATTTATAAAGCTTCAGAATCCATACCAAAGGAATTCCCGAGAGGATCCTGTTGAGTAATTTAGTGATGGTGTCAGAAAATCATTTGACAATGACACTGTTTTGTATTTTTACATATAGGCATGCTTGTGACTGACCCTTCACCATCCACTTTCCACTTTCCACTAACCAAGCAAGCAGGGGTATTTATGTCAATTCATTCTGAAATTTTGACATTCAAAATGGATAGTTGGGACTTGATTATTCTATTCCGCCCAATAGAATCCAAGTAAAAGCTCGCTCTGTCTCCCGTGTATACTGTTTTCTCATGTGCACTCAAACTTTGGGTGGCTGGACAAAACTTGTTTGGCTCATGGCTCGTCTCAATTCAAACTTTCAACAAATCCATCATTTTAGTAGGTGGTTAGATTTATATGCTTTAATCCTCTAGATTTATATGCTTTAATCCACTCTTCTAAAAAATTTCGTCCAACGTTGCTAAAGTGCTAGTGGCTGATAACTGTTCTGATTAATTCATAAGCGTATGAAAATTAAGAAAAAACATCTAGACTTGCTTAGGTACTCTCTTAAACCGTCTAGACTCCCGCCTTGATGCAAGGCCCCAACCCATTGTCCGACTAGCGCTTAACGTCTTTTAGAACTTTGTTTTAATCTCAACACGTTGCAAACTTATCCATTTATTATAACACATAAGGATATGATTTATTATTTATACTCCATAATTGATATGTTTACTAATCAGATTTCACTTGTCCATTTCAAATCAGACAATTGTAGAATTTATTTCAAGACAGAAAAGATTAAAACCTTATGCAGAATTTTCTTGATTGTGTTTTTTTACTTTTTAATATTAAGAAATGATAAACAAAGTTAAGCTTAGTTTCGAGTTAATGACATGTTTATTTACTTTGAATGAGTGATATGATCTAGTAATATTCTTTTACAATTGTAAATAAAAGTTTTAAGTTCGAATATAGTGAATAGCAAACTCGACACCAACTTATTATTCACACTGCTTATTGTAAACTTATCGATGTATTATATGGGCCCTTAGTAAAATTTCAGCGTGTTTCTTATAAAAAAGCTTAAAGAGACACACCTAGAAGCAAACACAAAGATATGAGAAGGATGCGTTGGGCCATAACCCCACCCGACAAGTGAGAAAATCAAAAGTTCAGTTTTATATGTTACCCGAGCCCATCCAATCCCCAAAATCCCAAACCAACCCAATCTTGTTGTTCGGCTTTGCCCAATTAATTGTATTGGCTCTCACATAAGCTTTTGAACACCTACAAAAAAAAAATCAAAAGATAGCTTCCTGACTCCAAAGGATTAATGCTCGGTGTTCATTCCTGTTCGACATGGTTGTCGTTGATTGGATTAACTCGAGTTAACCTCCACATCTGACATGTCATACTAGTCTGTTCGGAATATTACTTTCGTTAATAAATGCATGGAGTAGATAGGCCTTGAAGTGCATAGCATATAATCTTCGGAGTTTCAACGAAAACCCCACGATACTGTTCACTTTAACGAAAAACCACATTTTTACACTAAAAAGTCAATCATGGTATTATTCACTTTACCCTTTATTTTGTCCTTATTGTTAAAACTCAAAATTTTCAAGCCATTTTCATTATTTTTCCTTATAATCTTCCCCGGTAACCAGAACTCGAGAGGGGATGCAAATTGATGGCAAAACTGTGACGGAGAATTTTTTACAACTTCAGATACAAAAGATTGGTTCGACAAATAATTAAATTGAAAACCTCCCTCCCTTGCATAATAAAAGTTAACATAAACCAAAACTGAATATCTTATAATCCCCTGAAGCATGTTATGGGAACAATTGATAAAGAGGTCTAGCAATTGTGAGGGGAAACTATATGCATTTTGCTCCAACGAAAAATGTTGTACCGGAATTTACAAACCGTATTCAACCCTCCATCTGTAAATCAGCAAAAAAATCGTTTGAACTTCCCGAAACACGATCTTTGCTTGCATTTTTCCTTTTGGTCCCTGCAAAAGATTGTAACATCGGTTAAATAATGCTTTTCGATAATGACTAATGTGTTTGGTTTTGGAGCCAAACCGAACTTCTATTTTTTTAATCACGTAAACAAACCTTTGTTCGACTTCGGAGGATTAATATCCATATCCATATCATCACTATCGCTGTCCTCCACAGCTGCCTGAGGCTTTGAAGGCTTCGTCGAACCTTGCAATAACTCATCCATATCCCACAGCTGCGTTAAGCAATTGTCAAGGGTCAATTCATAAAACTACTAAGATCATTACTAGAAAGTAGGTTGAAATCATAAACGTGACAGATTAATAAAAGAGCACTGAGAGAGGGGGAGAGAGACACAAACCTTCAACATCTGATCATGTGCTATGCTGCCCAGAAACTTTTTGTCGTGGGAAAAAGCTACAAAACGAAACAAGACAGCTTGTTAACCAACCACAACAAAATAAGAAAATTGATTTTAGGTTGATGGTAAAGATTCAACAACGAGACCATATTGAACTCAGCAGCAATGAGTTCGCCACCATAATGTATTTTCTATGAATAATAAGCTGTTATATAATGCTCAACAATAAAAGTACTTTGATTACTCAACCCTCTAAAAATAAAAGAATGCATTACCAAGACCCTCAACCGGGTATTCTGAGTGCTCTGCAATAGGTTGGATGACTCTGTTGGGTAATATACCTACGAGGCTGAGAAATTTGTATGAAATCAATCTTAATGCTAAAAAGGTTAAAGAGCAATGAAATATAATGAATCGATTCTGCATGCTATTTCACCTGATAAGTCCAGTTTCAGATCCAGTGATCAACCTATCTTCATCAAGCTGACACAATAAATTTTAAAATGCTTCAACAAACACTCGTACAAAAATGTAAAACAGATATATGACCAACTCACCTTCAACAAAACATCAACAGAATTCGGAGAGAGATCAACAAATCGATCGCTGGAATTCAAAGGGTCATCCAGAAAGGAAAATCAGAAGTGGGAGAGAGAGAGGAGCAATAAAGTTGAAAGTATTGCTTTCATGATTAAAGACAACATATCTTCCGGTTTGTTACCCCCCCCCCCCCCCCCCCAACAATTACGATTTTCAACTTTTTAAACATGATTAAAAATGAAAATAACAAATACCTGCAATCCTTGAAAGATCCCCATGAATACAATAACAGATTCCCAATGTGTGAGCTGCACACCACTTTCCGACCATTCTGACCAACAAAAAGAATGAAAAAGGCATGGAATAAAGGAGAAGAAAAGCAAGAGGGAAAAATATATGATATTGATGAAATCATAAAATCACGGGAAGAAATTCAAAGGGGGAGACAGCAATGCAACCTTCATGATAACCACAGACAGTAGCTCCTCTTCTGAAAATTCAGATTGAGCTTGCACCTGTCGTTACCATAGAACCAAATTTGGAAATCTTTTAGTAATCCACTATAAGCATTGACCTTGTAATTTAGAGCAGTTTTAGAAAGGAAAAAAAAACCTTACTTTATTTCTTCGAAGATTGCAAACAGAAAGAGTCCCATCTCCACTTAACAATGCAAAAGAACACATATAAATGAACAACTCTTGAGGGTTGCATTTGCCGCAAAAGTAAGGGAAATACAATAAAAAAACAAGGGCATGAAGGACTACCTAGTTCCTAGGAGTTTCATGGAATCAGCCGCAAAAGTCATATCAGAAATGTATTCTTCATGAGCTTTGAAAGTATTGCAGCAAGACTGTTGCCTGGTATCCCACACCTGACCAATAAGCAATGTCAAAAAACGACAAACCAAACGAAAACAACGGTAAATGAAGCACAAGCAAAACACAAAATGACCTTAATACAGCCTTCGTCATCTCCAGAGGCAACTGTGGACTCAGTCAAGTTTATAAGCTTATTGACTGCAGACCTGAATTTGATTAAGGAATGTTAGATCATGATCTAAATGAGAATTTCTTGAGAGCTGACTAGTTACAGAGCAGAGAGAGAGAGAGAGAGAGAGAGAGAGAGAGAGAGACCCATGAGCCTCGTCAAGGCGAGCAATAGCAGCACCAGTTTCCACATCCGTTGCAAGAATTGAACAGTCGGGAGAGCCCGTCAAAATGGCTAACATCATCATCCATCAGTAACTTCTTATTAGCACAACTAATTATGATAAAGTAACAATATCAAATAACTAAAAAGTAAAAACTCAATGATACCTTGGCCATTGTTGATGAAGCGAACAGCTCTGCAAGATTCACTGTGTGCATGAACTTCCAACACCCTAAAATCATATTCATCTTAATCATCATCATAGTAATAATAATCATATAAGAATGCATAGAGTAATTAAGAAAAAATAACGGAGAAACTTAAGAAAATTGACCTTTGAGGTACTGAATCAGATGCATATCGGTACAAGTGAAGATCGCCATTGATAAGACCTGTAGTCACCAAGTGCTGCGATGGATGAAAATCAATGTCAAACGCCAAGTGCCCCAAATTTATCTCCATTCCTTTATCACTTTCCGCTTTCTTCCTCACTATATGCAGCGAACGATCAGTGCGTCCTTCATGCAAGCAAATATGTTCGTAGGCCCGTACAACAGTTGCAGTCTGAACTCTAAATTTTCCTCAGTTCAATCCAGTCCAAATTTGATTGCTTTTCTAGTAGGAAAATAGAAACGAAAATGCAGACATTAAAAGCTGTTGTCGAAACCAACCCGAATAGTAGATATGAACAATTCACCACAAAACGGAGATAAATTCAACTAGAATATGTTTAAACTCAATCACAACAAAAGAGAGAGCTTACTGAAGTTGGAAATTTCTAAATCCAAAATAATCAAATAAACTGAGAGTAATCATTTCAACATACAACCCGAACATAAAAATTAATATAGTTCATATCCAATTAATTCCAATCAATTCGGCCTCCAATTTATGCAAAATAATTCAAAATTTTCAATTTAATAAAATAGTAATCACAGAAAATTAAAAAAAAAAGATTATTTCCGAGCAAGATGAAGTATGACTTACACAGTGAAGATTGAGACTGAGAGAAGGAGAGAAGGCGGCGGCGCTGTCTGTGGCGCTGAGACCGACGGAGAGGAAAAGGAGGAGGAAGAGGTGCAGCGGCAGGCAACAGAGGAAGAGGCAGAGGGGTTTTGAGGGGACTTAACGAAGGCACATGACGTAATCACTGGGCTGGGATCTGTTTGGGCTATAATAACTGAAGGCCCACATTCGAATCCAGTCCAATATTTTTGGACTTTGAAACACCCGATCAAATTCGTAAAATGTTTTGGTAAAGGAATCCAAAGAACGAGTCACATTACAAATGAATGGATGAGAAAGAAAATAGAAGGTTTAACAGTTATGAAAGTTAAATCTAACGACTAAATAACATGTAGTACTGTGTGTTGCGGAATATTAAAGCCACACCTTATAAGTCAACTGATTTTATATTAAAATAATTCTTTCAAAAACAAACTCTACTAATATGTGGGTTTATGTTAACTTCTCGTTTTCAGCGTGAGTTTTCCAATTTTGACCTTTAAAGTTGATTCGAGATATAACGGTTTCAATCGCATTAATAATACTTTAACCCAAACCAACCCACCTATTCAACGGGTTTTTACCCAAAAGTAAAGTTTTAATGCTTAAAATCCAACCCAAACCAACTCATACCGAGTAGGGGTTGGCTAGTAATCCCATTCCAATGCCCACCCCTAATTTGGATTAAAACTCTCGTAATAGATGTTATGGTAGTCGACGTTGGCTTCGCCCCACTCTTTTACCATCCAGAGAGAAAATATGAAGTTTACTCTAGCAATAACATGATTCAAATTTGCTTTTGACGAGAATCAAACCAAAACCTCTCACTTAAAAGTAAAGAAGAACAACACTAGACCGTGACAACTCTCATAATAAATGCTAAATTTGAAGTTTACTCTAAAGTAAACAATTTGAGAATGTTCTTCAGCAAAAGAAAAGGATTGATTTATGAATTGTCGAAAACATTGCGAAAAATACATTAAAGGAGAGAGCAGCTGGGGAAAATGCCCCTTACAATACTAGTACAGATCGAAGGACTAACAATTTTCGAGCTCAAATACGAAATATTCATCCTGGCTGGAGAATTTTACCCAGAGACGTATGTGAATGCTAGGTCCTGGAAAAACATTCCTCTGTGCTCAAAATTTCTAAATTCATCAAAGCTTGCACAGCCTGGACTTAATACAATACTGTCCCCTGCAATAATCAGAGAATAATGAAATAAGCTTGATATCTTCGCGTCGCTAAAATTCATAAATTTTAAGGTAAACATATCTTAAAACAATGCTCAATGCCAATCATTTAACGTAGAGATTTTATAACTGGAACCGCTAATACGCAATTAAACAGAAATGGGCTGGAATGCAAATAATAGACAAACAGATTTTCTAGCACTTTTGAGCAATGATGTACGTACCATGTTCTGCCATCCTCCTAGCCCAGTTGACAGCATCCTTAAGATTTACGGCTCTGATGCAGGGAATGCTAAGTCCGTTATCAGACAGCGTCTTCTGAATCAGCATTCCGGAAGACCCAAACTTCGAGACATTGGTGAACAGATAGCATTAGTCAGGCAGAATATTAGAATTTGTTGGTAAAAAATAATCACAAGATGCAGGTAAACTATGTTTCATATTGGAAAACCACTACAAGATTTGAAGGCACAAGCACTGATATTGGCAACTAAGTATAAATCAAGAGGAAACGATAATATACCGTGATTACACATCTCTGGTACTTCAAAGGTTCTATCAGTCGTTCAAAACCATTACACTCTTGTCCATCTAACGACTGCAAAAGAAAAACATTATCATGAAAATTTTAACAGTGACGTTTGTTTGAAGAAAAAAAAAAGTTAGATCACATAAACGAGAAATGTATGTTGATTTTGTTAAACTAATGTGAATTCCATTGGAATTCCTCCTAAAATCTAATGTAATTATTTCATTTACGAGTAAAATTCAATGTAATAAAGTTAAATTTAAAGTGAGAGTCTAATTCTTCAATTCATAATTCATAATAATGATGCAACACTACTAGCACATGCACTAACCATTTTGACTTATCTAATGCGTACTCAAATGAGTATTTGGCAAAGCAGAATAAACAGGGATTCTCACATGAACTTGACGTGTAAAATGATAAAAGAAACTTCACACATTTTCATTTTTACTATAAACAATGTCTCAGTTAATCCATTAATTTAACTCCAATTAATTTTCCATCTTTTCCTCCCCACTTGACTGGTGAACGCGATGTCTTACTCTAAGCTTTCATGTAAGGAAAAAAAAAACAAAGACAAATGAGAAGTATGAAGATTAAAGCAGCATTTAGCAACTAGGATAAATTGTAACCTTCGCAAGGCCCCCAAGTAGAACCACAGACTTTTGTTTCTTTAGATCCATTAGTCCTGTGTATGTTGCTTCCACATTTGTTGCCTTACTGTCATCGACCCAGGTCACTCCATGGATATCCTTGCATACTGCATAACAAAAGTAAAGTAGTGAAAATGATATAAATTTGATCCACGGGAAAAAAGGGTATGCTCCAACTCATTGATTTCATATTTCCAATCAAGATAGAATGAAGAAAGAAACAGCTCACAACTTAGAGAGGTGCATCTGTTTCAACTGACCAATTTGCATACGATGAGGTGGTGCCCTTAATTTTTCAATACATGGACCTATGGCTTCAACATCAACTCCAACATTCAGTCCAACAACAGACAGAGCAGCCACCGCAGCATTGTGAAAGTTGTGTCCCCCCATCGTTTTCATTGCCCCCAATTGTAGTTGTGAATTGACTCCCAATGCAGGCACTTCTAAGCTTGCAATTTTTGTCTCCATGTCAATCTTTCAAATTTTAATACACGTTACCAAATTAAAACCATATATGATATTAAAAGTAAAACTGAAGAAAGGCAGAAAGGAGAAAACATGAATGAAGTATAAATTTAGACTTGTGATGCTAATATATAGATTATGGTTTATGTTTCATTCCAAAATTTATCACCAATGACTTTGAGCCGTAGCTTTCGAAAAAAATTTCCTTCTCTGTTTCTAAAATAAAATGGCAACACTACGAGCATCCAAAATAAGACAATTTTCCAAATTCTTGATCTCACGTGGGGCTGGACTTCTATCTTTATTTCTCCAAATATTTGACATTGATATGTAGACTTATAATGGTCCATTACTTGACAGCAAAGTTCCTAAAATAATAAGCGAAGTAATTCTTACTTTCACACCTGGAATGGCTCCTATCCACGCAAGATTAAGTTCATTCAAGCTTTCAATAATTGCTTCATCTAAGTACTGGTTTCCTGAAATAGATTGCAAGAAAAGCCGTCAGAAACATATACGAAGTCTCATACAAGCAACAACGGTATGGTATCACCGAAATCACAGATACATACACAGACACCAGATGAATGAGGATAAAGTGAAACCAACTGAAAAGGTTCTGGTCATCATCTATTTTCCAGTACTTTTACACATGGTTTTAAAAATTGTCAGCCTCCATGCATCCTATGCAGTATTTCATAACGTTTGTGCTTTGTACTTTCAAAGATGTCCAGTGTAACCAAATAGAAACATATAGAGTTTGAATCAAAGGGATGTACATAACTCTCAAACAAACAAACTGTATGAAATTATATGGGTCCGTTATAACTTATTACTCATGGAACTTGAAGCATTTGCATCTTTCTCTTTGCTTGTAAACATCAACACATGACAATCTACCTGACACAAAGTAGATCTACATTGACCAACCTGCATTCCCTATCCCCAACCTGAGATCACCGGCCTAAACAACAAGCAAACACTCGAATGTGAGAGCTAGGGATCACTCAATGAATGGACTAGAGTGGCGGTCCAAATCTTATCTCAACTGCAAGAATAACTGATTAAGCTGGCATAAGGGTCATTCTCCAAACGGGAAGGGGCCAAAGAAAGATCGGCCATAGGAGTATTCTGGGAGATAATCCAATGGACTTAGGAGACCCTCTTTAAGTATCACAGAAACCACAGCTAATCGGAAAGAGAAATCATCCCAATATCACTTTTAGAAGTAGATTTTCAATCCAAAGAAAGAAAGAAAAAAGTATTGTGGTGATCAAGGTTCATTCTACATGTCAACATCCGTATACCTTCTGGGTCTGCATTGAGGTCATTTTTAAGGAACCTAATAATTTTCTTTTCTAAAGTCAGTTATATAGAAATCTGAGAATTAGTTTCTCAAATAGAAGAGAAAAAAAAAATCTAAGCATTCGACTTCACAGGTTATATCCACTCCTAGTTTAATCTTGCTATCAGAAAAATGGGTTTAGTCATCATGCATGATTTCCAACCCAACCCCACAAATTCACTTTTTCGTGCCTTACCTATAATCTAATAGGAACCTATTAATAAAACAGCAATGATGGGTAAATTGCTGACAATGGATGTCAGAAATAACTTCAGAAAAATTCTATAGATCCAAAATACATTTACCAAGAGAATGACGTGCATACCAAAACAAAGAAGCCCAAGCTTGGCACCAGTCATGTGAAAAAATAACCGGCATTTAGTTTGTGCATAATCCCTCATTGTCCCATGCCTTTCTAGATGATCAGGTGTAAGGTTTAACACCACAGCAACCTCCACAAAAGCATATTATATTGAAGGAGGAAATAAAGTGTGAAATATTTATAAAGCTGGAAGGGGGTGCAACGACGCAAATTTTCAAAAAAGCACTTACAGAAGGGCAGAAGTACTTGCTGGGAATCTCCATTTGATAACTGCTAACCTCCACAACTGCAACCTGGAAAAATGTAGCAACATCCGTATATGTCTGTTAAGTGCCTCCTATTTTCTTCAACAAATTTCAAGTTGAGCCAAAAATTCTCGTTAATCAATGACTTTCAACTATGTTATTGCAAAATCACTTTCACAAACACAGGAACACAATTCACCCAGACTATTGGACACACCTTAAACTTGGGTTTTGAAGAAGGTGGCTGTAAGCATTGGAAAACAGCCTCTGAGAGTGGGTTACCAAGGTTACCCCCAACAAATGTCTCGATTCCAAAATGACTAAGCATCTACCTTCATATGAGAAGAAATTAATTAAGGACTCCATTTTACAACATGATAAATTCATGATATAAGAAACTAAATTTATCCTAGTATTCTAATTAACAACTCTCTTTATTCCAACATAACTTTGCATGGATGCTGCAGCTTCTATAGACAGCAGACAGGGACTTGTGCCAATTGAAAGCAATGCATGCTGGAAGCAATGTCAACTTATCTAAATATTTGATGATTATTCATCCATTTTTGGAGTTTGGGGATTGGTGGAACGCATTTAGGTTGTTATATTGTGAACTTCAGAAATGAGAGCATTTTTCTCACTGTCCATTTTTCATTTGGGCTTTAGATTAAGTGTTTCGGTTCAGATTTCTGTTGCTATCAGCAACAATATGAGACATTGATACTTAAATTACCATGAATAAGCATAAATTAATTCGACCCCACTTAGTGGGATAAGCTTTGTTGTTGTTGTAAGCATAAATAAATAAAAAGAGTAAGATCTAGTACCTGTCCAGCAAAAGTGACTACGGTTGATTTTCCATTGGTCCCTGTCACTGCTAAAATCTTTACACTTTCTGGGAGAATTTCAGCAGCAAAGTCCAACTCAGACATTACCTGCTTTCCCTGCATTTCAGCTCCAAAGAACTCATGACAAAATCTCGGGAATCCACGGCTAAACTAAATAAGGCTGCATATTTCCCTAAATGAGGCATTGTCCAATGCCCTTACTTGAATGAATCCATTCAGAACGGATTACAGAAACAGTACACCATCAGTCCACACGTGTATAACCAAAGAATGTTATGATACATAAAGCAAGGCACGCAAATGTATGTATTTCTCCAAAGCCTAAACTTATTCAAAATTAAACTTATAGGTCGGTCGTCTTCGATTTATTCATTCAACGGTTGAACCAAAGCTTAAACTTATTCAAAATTAAACATATAGGTATGTTGTCCTTAGATTATTCATTCAATGGTAGGCACATATTATGAACGCACTAACTTACTGACTGCAACAAAGAGGAAAGACCATAATTTTGTAGGGGAACTCCAGGGGACACCACAACCCTGTCCGCATTATTAAGTAGCTCCTCATCAAATTCACCCAGGATTGTTTTCAATGCACCTATTCCGTCATATTGCTTCTCAAAGAGCGGATCTTTCTGCAACCAACTAGAACTTAAACCACTAGAAGTATGCACGATGAAGGCAGGGAAATTCGGTGAAATGAGGGTTTTACAAATCCCAATTGCTGAAATGATGACATATCAATAAAATCCAGAACATTGATAGTTTCAGCAATTGGGATTAGTATTTTCATCATTTCAGCCAATTTCTCTTTCTTGTTTATGAATACAAACACAGCTACACACACATACACAATGCAATCAGTGGGACAAATGGATTTTTGGGCATACCTCTAAAAGACGCAGATTCGGGTTCTGATCGAAGGCGAAAACTGAAGCACCTCTGGCAAGAGCAAGCCTGGCCGCAGCTCTCCCAGATTTTCCCAACCCAACAATCTGCAAACACCAAACTTTCTCAGAAGATTGAATTGCAATAACTTAACGGAATCAGAAAGGGAATGAAATAGCTTAGCTTACAGCGACGGATTGGCCTCGAAGGTCCTGTTCCGGAGCGCATGATCGGACGTTTGCTGGGAGTTTCAGCTCCGCGGAGCAATTGGGTTTGGGGCTGAGGGTTCGGATTGCATAGCCATTGTTCAAAGATTGCATCTTCATGCCGATTGAGCGTTTACATTTGTTCGTTCAAATGGGGTTTTGCTCGAATGCGCGGCAAAGTATTATATATCGTGCAGTGATCGGAGCCGTTGGGCGTCTTCCAGATGAACCGGGAAGAGGGTTTTGCTTTCTTCTTTTTATTTTTCAATTTCTGGTGTTTTGCGACATTTTCTTTTTCTTTTTTCTTAGTAATAAATTTGGAAATGTTGTAAAATATAGAGTGAATCATTGAATGTCACACATGTGATTATCCGAGAAAGCAAACAAAATAGATTTTGGTGATAATTGTTGAAAGTTTTAGTTAAAAATGTCTTACAGAGATTAAAAATTTTCTTCATGTATGTAAAATGTTATCGATCAAAACCTTGGTATATAAAGATACGTTTATATCTTCAATAAACGATTAAAATTTTTCTTCATGTATGTAGGATATTGTAGATCAAAACCTGTATATAGAGATATGTTTATATCTTCAATAAACTTGTTTACACACCAAAACCCAAGTCAGCAAATAAGGTTCAACGTTGGTGAACATAAAAAGGAACCGGATCCCCTTCGAATTCAAATGAACTGAGCCCACTAATTAATGAATCTTGACTATTGAAATTTGATCTAACGGCTACAAACAAGGGTCTTCTAAAGTTACAATAATTGTAGTCGTTGAATCAAATTTCAATGGTTTGGATTCATTAATTAATGGGCTCAGTTCCCTTGAATCCAGAGGGGATCTGGTTCACATAAAAAGGAAGTTCAACAAAAAAAAGAAGGATGTTGATGTTGTAAAGGTGACTGGATGGCTGGCCACTAATCCACTTCAATCTGTCTTTATTGGATGGAATGTTAGGTGACTCCACTAATATGCCTTTCACTATGTTGCTTGTGATTTGATTCTATAAAAGCAAGTCTTATGAAACACAACACACCTAAGGATGAAAGTAAGAAGTTCACGGAAGAGGAGAAGAAAAAAGAGAAGAAGAGTAAAGGGGATAATAGAGAGAGTTATTTTGTACTCTTATTATTCTAAATTATAATGGAAGCATCACTGCTGCTCTAAGGACGTACTCCAGTCATACTGACTGTAGAGGAACCTCGTAAATTTTGGGTCTTGTTTTATTTATTCCACTGCACACACCATCGATTTTATAACACGTTATCAGCACGAGATGCTCTTATGTCAGTGGAAAACATAACGCCATAAATTCGGATAAACACAAGTCAAACTTGCGGTACTAGGAGCAATTTAGCTCAGAGAATGAGCACCAAAAAAATCGCATAGTAGAGACGGCAAGCTAGACACAACAAACAGGGAAGATCATCTTGTCCCAAAAATCCATCAACCTTTCTTTTATCACTTTTTCTTTTATCACTCTAACTGTTGATGTGCTGATCCTTATCCCTACTAGACTTGCAATCTCGTCTTTCTCTCGTGGACAAGAGAGATGGAGAGATCTTACAGACAAATAAAGGTACAGCAAAATAAGCAAAGGTATGTCTATTTTTCGTCTTTCCCACCACGCCAGAAGCGCCCCACTGAATTCTGATGAGAATTGAAATTTACAACGACCTGTAGTCGTCACGAAATATGAAAACTCAAACCTGACAACTGGTTTCCAAAGATCCAGGAGAATCTCATCAAACTTGAAAACCCAGATCGCGTTGTTTTCGACGCATCTTGAGAACTCCCATGAATATTCGGTTGTTTGAGATAGCGATGGCAAGAATGAATCCACACAGGCCTCCATCTCTTGTGCCTCCGTCAACCTCATTATCATTTATGTCTTTGTAGGAAGGTTCTTGTTTTGCGATGCTATGTTCTCTAGACCATGCAAGAACAACACCAATCCTTGGTAGCCTTTTTGGATTGAATTGGTTTTGTGTGACCTCTACAACAACCCAGATGGTCCTAGGTTTCGAGACTGGTAAAGACAGACAAAGAAAAAATGAAAAAAAAAGAAGTTTATGGAATGTGTATGGCACCATTTGAAAAAAAAGCAATAATGCATTTGCACCATTTGAATGAAAAATAATAATTAAAAAGGAGGAAATGGGGCCAAAGCTCTTGGAAAGGTGCATTGCACCATGTGAAAGGAAAAAAAAAAAAAACAAAACAAAAGTTTATTGGAATGTTGCAACATGTGAATGAATAAGAAAAATAATAATAATAAAAAGGTAAAGGTTTTTAGATGGTGTTACACCATCTGAAAAGAAAGAAGAAATATATATATATATATATATATATATATATATATTTATGTGAATGATGTTGGTTTAAAATCATTTCACAAGTTCTATTTATTTTAAAGCAATTTATTTATCATGGACGGTTTTACTGCCTACTACTTTAAGTTTTGATTTATGTGAATGGTGCTGAATTAAAACTCTTGTCACAAGCTTTATTTACTTAAATGTAATTTATTTACTATGGCTGGAATTACCGCCTATTGCTTTAATTTATTTATTTTACTTATCTTTTGTTACGATGAGTATATACAAGACCTAAAGTTTCTTGATCAGATCAGAACCTATAGTTTCTTGATCCTCATCAGATAAAATAATTGGACCTGAAGTTCCATCATGCAAAGAGATCAGGCATGAAGTCATTTGATCCTCAAGACATAAAGTTTCTTGATGAATATCGTAAGTTTGAAATGCCGCAGTGCCTTCAACTTAATTGTAATAAAAGTCATAAGAGTCTCAATCTACATACTATTAAATAAGGACCAGAAGTTTCTTATATCCATACTCAAAATGGTTTAGTATAAGTATTTATTAAGCGGATGAAATTGATTACCCGCGCTCTGCTCATGAAAATGAAATTACCAAGTTTCTACATGGGGACATGTCATTTTACATGATTCAATATTAATTCGGTTGAGACATGTTGCCAACCATCAATATTTCTCAGTACAACTCGTGTTTAGGCACCAGCTAAACATTACACATTTACAAGTTTTTGGTTATGTTACACCTGTGCCTGTTGTATTGCCAAAACGTACTAAAATAAGACATCAATACAAACTGGGAATTTATGTTGAATTTGATTCATTATCTATCATTCAACATTTGGAACCCTTAACTAGAGATATGTTTACCGTGCGGTTTGCAGACTATGATTTTGATAAGACAGTTTTCTCGCCATTAGGGGGAAGAAAATAACATCTTTTCAGAAGAACGATGAGAAAATACCATTCCAGAAGAATGATAAGAAAAAACCGTTCCAGAAGAATGAAGAGAATTTGTCTTATTTTGATTCACGAAGCAATCAATATGAAAATGAAGTAGGAATAATTGAATGATGCAATGATGTGTCAATCAAATGCCAGATGCATTTAATGATGCAACGAAAGTGATGAAATCACATATACTTGTTGCAAATGTGCCTACAAGAATTAACGTCCCTGTTGGACAATATAATAAGGCAGTAAATGATTTATTTTTTGCACGCCTGAAGCGTGGCAGACCCTCAGACTCAAAATATTCAGTCATTCGAAAGAAGAAGAATATGGCACTACTGAACTTTTGCATTCCCGAAGCATAACTGTTACATGCCAGAAGCAAGATAGTCGTTGTATGAATACATGTCCCAAAAAGGACGATCCGCGGACATAGGAATGTTGATGTCTCATGCATGAAGCATAGTAGAAATATAGGTTCCAATGACTCAACTCAAGGAAGTGGAGATTACAATCCAAACTCCATAACGCTCAAGAGGAGGTTATGATCCGCATTTTCTAAATTATGACCACCCTGAAAGAGATAATGTAATGCCCTTGAAAAGGCAATGGATATCCAAAAGAAATGAAAAACTTTTATGCATGCGCATGCACATAAGAATATGGGATCACAGATTGATGATAACCAATGGTAATTTTAGTTTTTACAAGTAACTACTAAATTCATCAATAAGATATATTGATATTGAGTCCTGTTCTTTTTCCGTCAATAAAATTATTGGCCAAAACGGAGAAAGGCAATTCCATTACAATTTTGTAAGAACATGGAAAAATAAACCTATATACTTGAAAACAATACAAATAGCCAAAAGATGTTGAACCTAGAAGGTTACATATGGGCATTTATAATTCCGTGAAATACAATCACATGGTACGACACAAGATTATAAACAAGTTCATATGAGTGGAGAATTATATACGAAGGGTTATGAGTCGCCCATATCTTATCTCTATAAGTAAATCCCTCAAATATACATGGAAGCAAGTTGCTCTGCATAAATTCCATAGGAAAATATGTCACGAAGTGTAAAAAATCCCTGAATGATTCAAATTGCTTGAAGTAAGCCTCAAAGGGTAAAGCATAAAATATGTACTCAATACCAATAGATGATATAAATTGTCTTATGATATTGTTGCAACATATTAAAATCTCTTGCAAGAGTTGATGACATTAGATTGGGACTCTTGAAGAGGCTAGAAAGATTATAAAGTGTTGAGAGAAATATTGTTTTGAATTGCAGATCGAACAATATGCCAACATGAATCTTATCCATGATGTTTATTATATTAAGATTATGAGTTGAATACTCAAATGATTTAGACACTAAGAACGATCATTTATCTTCGAGAGGGTAATGATAAATTGATATTTGGTCCAAAAGTACCACATCTTAGTGAACTATATGGTTTATTGTATTTACTTAATACATTGAATGAAATAAAGCTTATATATTGATATCTCTGAGAAATTAAAGATATATGCATACACATGAATTAAAACAAACAAACAGAATGGAGCTTTCACAAAGGTTGCTCATGTGAAGCCTCAGTACTTGGCAATACCTCAGAAGGGGGAGGCACTAGAGATTGATCATGTGGCATCCTAATACTTGGCAAAACACTATAAGGGGAAGGCATCAATTGCCTTCGGAATCTAACCACGAATCTTTGGTGATCATTTTGAATCCGACTTTCGGATTCTTGAAGCTTGTCAAGCTTTTTATTCATGCTTGTCGAGTAATTATTTGAAAGCACGTGTAAAACTCTATTCTCGTGCTTGAGCCATCTGATCTCTTGTTTAAGACTTGTCACCTCAGCAATCAATGATTCAACTTGGCGAATTTGAGCAAGTAGGCGTTGGCCCGTATTAGGTACAGAGCCCATACATTGAACACTGAGAGTCAAGGAGTCTTAACCGGTCGACTTATCATAGCGTTTTGAAAAGGATTTTGTTATCTTTTG